AAGTCTTATATACTTCACTAGGACGAAAGTATATTTCCCGTCCGCTGTTTCAGAACAAAGCACTGTATACCTCTTTGCGGATTAATGTTATGATTCCAAGGGCCATGTCGTGTGGCCTGCGTGGCGAATCGAATTTACTAGCTGGTTTAAAATTAAAATTCTTTAAAAGGTAACGAATGCAACTCCTAAGCTGAAGTAGAAACTTCTGTGGTAGGAGTCTATGGGGAAAGGGTGTTCGAAAGCCCAAGAGGAAAAACTTAACTTTCCTGGCGGTGTATCCCCCATATATGGGTTATATAAGGCTTATATATGATGGGCTAATGTGGTAAAACCAAAGTCATAACACATCCCCAAAGTCACCGTGATTTTTACGGGTGGGATTCAAAAAACATCCCCAGTCATGGTAGGTTCATGGCATTGGGTGAATCCCAAAAATTAATGGTGATCAATGGTGTATTCATGGTGTATATATGGTTTATATATGGTGACAAATGGTGATACCCTCTGGTAAACGTTTACATAACGAACTGGAAAGATCCACCATTTTCTAGCTGGGAAAATCCACTATTTTTATGGTCATTTTCAATAGCTATTCTGGTGATCAATGGTGTATTGATGGAATGAACCACCGTATGTATTTCTATGGTTGGTGGTTGTGTAAAACAATCCCTCTGAAAAACAACCCCTCTGAACAATGATTGAGTGAGTAACAGTTGGGATGATGACATTCCCAATATGATGGGAAAATCATGAAAAAAAGTTCCAAACCACCAACCAGATCACCATCATATTCCCATTGTTGTTGGTTTATAGCCTATGAAAACCACTATTAACCATCATTAACCATGTCATGAATCATCCCACAATCCAGTCATGCTCCAAACCCCCCACCAACCACCAACCAGTTGTGGCTACGTTACCCCCGCCAGATCTGTATCCAGGCCATGCCAGGCCATGCCGGGCCCACCAGGTCGCCATCCAAGGATCTCGTCGTCCTTGCAGGACGGCATCGCTCCCAGGTCGCCATCCGTCGCGTGGTCGCCCCAACTCACCTGCGACGGCAGAGTGGATTGACTCCCAGGTGTAGGAAAATATCGATGTGCACATAATATGATCATATATGATATATAAATTATATATATATATGTATATATAAATGTGAACATATACATGAATTGAATAAATATATATAATGCTTAAATATGTTTAAATTACTTCTCAATCTGTGGGAATTCTGTGAGTCTGTTATGCCCCAATGTGTCAGCCGGTGGCTATATCATCTATTTTCATGGTTTGGGTCATTGGTACAGCGTGGAAGCTCTGTTGTACCCAGCTACCACAACTCCAAGATACCTCTTCAACCATCAGCAGTGGATTCAGCGTCAGCGCCAAAGGAACCAGAGCAGATTCGTGAAGAAATCGGAGCCACAGGGGCAAAGTGGTGTCAACCCTGAACGATTTTCCTGCACAAAATAGGAGGTCATCTGTCAGTCTGAGATTTTTTTCAAAAAGTTGGTTTTCATACACTTGCCTCTGGGGACTGTCTACAATGCTGTGTGTTGACTGGAAGACAGCAGAAAGGCAGCGCAGCAACCTACATTAAATAGCTGGCTATGAACCCAAAAAAATCTCAAGTTGGGATGTTGAACCAGAAGTGAGTTATTTTTGTTTCATAAATGCAGGTCAAGTCTGGCGCACGTGGCCCTTTGATTTCAAACCATTCTGGGAAAAAAGGCCCTATGATTTCCATGATTTCCTTATTATTCCCCTAATATGTTCCTAACAACAAGGGTTTTGGCCACAAAAATCTGCTAAGTCGATGATTTCTCTATGAATCGTCCCTATTGTTTCCCTAACACAACCAGGAGTCCCAGTATGCTTTGGCGTGCGGCGTCTTGGCCGTTGATCCGTTGCGCTGCGGGCCAGGGCTATCAACCGCGCATTTTTCGTGTCCAGCACACATCCATCGGATGACCCATGTCTTGGGAAAAAAAATATGGGATTCATTGAAACTAAACTTAGGGGATTGATTAGTGCATGGAACTAACTTCAAAAATTTCTAAAATTTGTGTTTTAGATGCTAATCAATTCAACTAATAACTAATAACTAACAAATTAGATCAAGTTAGTGAGTGTGTGTGTGAGTGTGTGTTTCAGAGTTGTCCAAATTCACTACACTCATGATGCTGTAGCAGGAGACTTCCAAGATTCAAAACATATTCATGTGGGCAGGCTGACACCGTGGGGTTCCCTTAATCGATTGGCCTTGGTGGAAGAAACCCGACAATCACCAGGTGGTAGATGGTTTATGTATCCCGTTATAGTTGATACGTATACACGGTATTATACACTGGTATTTTGTTTATGGGTGTATAACAATGTTGAAAATTATCTTGATGGTTTATAATTGTTATAAACATTAGTGTATTTTTTAACCAGTGTTCTTATGACCACAATTATCACAATAAATTAGTTATAAACACCATATTAAACACAACCGAAGTGTTTATAACCACCAGTGTTGAATTTTGTTACCAACAGTTACCCAATGCGAGTGGTTTTTGATGATCACCACGGCAACAGCTGCCAGCTATTCGGTCCACGGTTAATCATCAAACAAATGTATTCATCAAAAAACCTCCGGTTATTTAACGTAACGAAGATCCGAAAGATCCACCATGCTATTAATAGGTAAACCATCTATTTAATACGGGCCATCTATACCATGGCTATGTTAAATAACCAGAGGGCATCTGGAATACAACATGATCATGGTTCATGAAGTCGTGATTGTATGTCATGCCATGCCATTTAATCATGTTTGTTGCTCAAGGGCCATGCTTGATGCTTCAAACATGTTCAAATCCCATGAAGATGGGTGAAGAAATTGGCCAGTTTTGAATGGGTAACACTGTCCTCGCAAAACTTCCAAAAAACAACTACATACATGGTTTACCTAAAATTGACCGTACCTCATATGTTGTAACTCCCCCGAATGTCAAAACATATCATACGCACTTAACTGACCACTTATGGGTCGAAACCTCCGTAGAATTCTGTTCACATCACATGGTACATCGATGTTCACCCATTTCCACGGGATTTCATACAGGTTTTGAGCCATTTCCAAAAAAAAACGTGCCATCCTTGTTGCCGTTTCCATGGGAATCCTGGATGAATCACCATTAAAATCACCATCAATCACCGCTTTGAAAAAATACTTGGTGTATCCCATGTAACACAATACAGTGCGTTAATCACCATTGATCACCATTGATCACCATTCATATCCATATACATAATCGTATATAATATGTCTATAATATATATATATATATAATCATATATAATCTGTATATATATATGCTACCCACCCCAAAGAACTACATTTTGTGTATTAGATATGTCTTTGAATGCCTTTTCTTCCTTCTTATATATATATAATCATATATAAACAAATATATATATATATATAGATAGATAATCGATATCTATAGTGGGCAGTGGGTTACATCTTTGTTCACTTTTCACGGCACACGCATCCCACGCATCATCGAAGCAGCGCAGCGCGCGCCGAACGTCCAGCCACGGTAGCGCCGCGTCCACGGTAGCGCCCTGGCGACAGGGCGCCACGGGATGACGTGAACAAGGGGAAAAATCACAAGTTTTTACGGTTCAAAATAGCTTGGTGGATTGGTTTATCATGGTTTACCCTCTGGTAAACGTTTACATAACGAACTGGAAAGATCCACCATTTTCTAGCTGGGTAAATCCACTATTTCGACTGGGCCATTTTCAATAGCTATGTTAAATTACCAGAGGGTATCTATGAAAAGTGGTGATTGAATGGGATGATATGGGAAATTCGCCACAGTTACAGCCCTGAAGCTAGTTATTTTTGGCTGTAAACAGGGTTGATATTCCATCAATGGGGCTATAAATGACACTGGTAAAGGAGCTATGGGATGGTTCTCATGGGGGTGTGGCTCTCAACGGCTATGGCCATGGGATGAAATAACTCCTGCAATTCTGAAAAATATCATGAGCAAAAAACAGTTATAAGGGCTATAACTGAAATTTCAGCAGCAAAACGATGGAATTGATTGTACAGTTAAACACATATTAAGAATGAAGAAATGATAGTCATACAACAACAACAACAACAACAACAACAACAACAACAACAACAACAACAGCATCATCAACAACAACAAAAACAACGAACGATAAATCAATGCAACCTGATGCTAGTATGACAAATTGCTATAGATTTTGCCTCTATCCCATCCCATACTGGCTGGTATCGCGTTGCATATGGTCAGGTTATAGTCATCGCCATATCGCCAACACATTTCGGAAACTATACAACCCTGTACGTGTGAATGGGTCAAAACCATGGTATATGGATGTTTGTCATGATGTATATTGTTTATAGTCATCCATTGCATATTGGGAATCACGAATCCTTATATGCATTATGATTCCTGATATGTAAAATTGGATTACGATTATAATTAAAATCCATTCATTATGAATGAATTATGAAGGAATTGGAATTCATGACCATTCCAAGTACCAACTGGTTATTTAACATAGCCATGGAAAGATCCACCCATTTTTAATAGGTAAACCATCTATTTAATATGGGCCATCTATACCGTGGCTATGTTAAATAACCATGGCTATGCAACAAATAACCAGAGGGTAACTATCATTAACCATAGATAATCCATATATTAACCATGCATAATTAACCATAATTAAAATCTAATTGCTGATGATCTCCGGTTTCCACTTCTCCAGGAATTAAGTTAAACCATGACACCTGCTGTTGCTGCGGGTCCTCCTGCACAGACTGGTAGCGCTGCAACCAACGCCTCGGTGAAACTCTGGCAACTCGCCAACAGCGTTACCAACGCAGCAAGATATAGGTGTCTTACCTACAAACATGGGGTTATACGTGTGCATATATATATATGTATATATATATATATACATATGTATGTATATATATATATGTATGTATGTGTATATATATACATATATATATATATAATGTGGATAGAATATGGTGGTGATATGGTAGTGGTTCCCTCCATCAAATGAAATACCATCCCCAAAAAACGGCCCCCAAATCACTCTAATCGATCCAATACTAAAACATGGTTTTGATGGTGAATAACGTTGTGAGAAGGGACGCAGAAAAGCATCAATATTGGTATGGGTCAAAATTTAGATACCTCTCAAATTGGATGTTTTCTTACTAGAAATGAACAGGATCTGCGGTCCACTTGGCCTTCAATTTTGATCAAACAGAGATCAAGTCCAGGAGTGATTTGTCTCCGAGCCAAGACCCGCTCCACAGCGTCAATAACTTCTGACATAGTATGGATAGATGGACATATGACCCATATGCTCCATGGTGCTGGAATATTTACCTACATTTGCCCCATAAATCACCCAGTTCTGTAGGTAAATATACGAGCACCATGCAGCATATGGGTTATGCGGTTTCTTTCCCAGTTTGGACAGGGTACATGAGACCAGCCAACATTGTGGTCGTAAGCAGTGCACATCTTTAGCTTTGAATATGCAGTGTTACCACAAAGTAAAAAGCCAATTGCAATGGATCACCAACTATGATATCACCAATTTTCCAATTGAAGGTGTTCCCAAAAAAAACACCCAAACCTATTAGAATCATTAGATCTGGAAACTCAACCAACACCTCTTGCTCATTTCCCCAGCTACATGGCGTCGACGCCTCGCCTCGCCTCATGTCAGCGAACACAATCAACAGCATAGCACATAAATAAATAGACAAAACTAAAAAAACAAAACACAACATTGATATGTAAACAATATAGACATATAAGAAATAGATATCAGCATCGACATTACCAACTAAGACAGAACATGTACATCTGACCCCAAACTCCCCAAACATATGGGATAGTACAACAAAGAAAAAAAACTTAATCATCATTTATCAATTCTCCCCATTTTTGTAGCACCACAGGATGGTGCCGAGCATCTTGAGCAACGGGACGATTTGATCCACTTTGAAGAAGCGCAACTTTGTCGCCTGCGTTGCGAAGCTGACGCAACGTGTTTCGCGCAACGTACGTGCGTCACGTGCGCGGAAATGAGAGAAATGATAAGTTTATACAAGTTAACTAAAGGTTCAATCTGATTAAAACACAATTCTAAACTAGTTAATTATGAACCGTTTTACTGGTTGTTCAAATCTGTTTGAGTTGGTAAGTGCCACCAGAACTTGATGGCAATGACCAAATTGACCAATAGCCTATTCATTGCTGATCAGATTTGATTAAGAACAAATCCGAATCATTCACGATTGGAAATAAAAACATGTTGCATTTAGCCGAGTCTGTGCCACTGTCCAAACATATTGCATGTGGTATGGTCATCCATCCCACGGTGGGAATCCTTATTATATGGGCAAACAAGTCCGTATGAGAAGGGACTGATGACCATCTCCCCGTCTGGATATAAGACCCAACGTTTGACATCGTTTGACTATGGATGATTATGGCAACTCATTCCAATTGGCGATACTATATCTTCATTAAATAACAGTGGAAACCATATTGTCGATGCTAACTTGGCCATCAATATCTGGATTATACACATCGTTCTTTGTAACGTTTCTGTGACTGAAATTTCGCTGATATCCCCAGTTTTGGTGCATAATCCACTGTAAATCACCATTTTGCTGTTTAATCCACAGTAAATCACCATTTTTGCTGCTTAAATCATCCAAAATCACCATTTTTGCTACTTAAATCATCCTTTTTTTTTTGGCGAAAAACGTTGGTTCAACGTGTCACATCTCGGCTGAACGGCACGGCCGCTGAACTTCAACGGCACCTCGCCGGGGGACCAGCCCGGCAGCTTGGCCGTACGGATCCAGGCGATTTTTTCGATCTCCTCCCGGTGGAAGGATGGTTCAAACTCTAGACATAAATAAGAGTACTTGGTGGCTCATCCCACTTAGTAAGTGGGTTATAACCCCAGTTATAAATGGGATAAGTAGGGTTAATCCACTTACAAATGGGGTGAACTAACCCACTTACGAGCCGTGGGATGAGCCACCAAGTACTAATAGTAATAGCAATATCAATAATAATGGTACTATCTCTATTGCTATTAGTATTACTAATCTAAGAATATATATTAATAGTAATAGTAATACTAGTTAGAGATTGAACCATCCTGGAATACTATTGGAATATATACTATCAATACTATTGGAATAACTAGTATTACTAATAGTTTGAGATTGAACCATCCTGGAATCCTGGAACCCCGGAACCCTGGAACCCTGAAACCCTGGAACCCTGCGACCGTGGAACCCTGAAACCTTGGAACCTTGGCACCCTGGAACCCTCAAGGATTCTGGAACCCTGCAACCTTGGAACCCTGCAACCCTGCACACCTGGAACCCTGCTGGGATCCTGGAACCCTGAAACCCTGGAACCCTGGAACCCTGGACCCTGGAACCCTGGAACCCTGGAACCCTGGAACCCTGAAACCTTGGAACCCCAGAACCCTGGAAACCTGAAACCCTGGAACCTTGGAACCCTGCGACCGTGGAACCCTGAAACCTTGGAACCTTGGCACCCTGGAACCCTCAAGGATTCTGGAACCCTGCAACCCTGCAACCTTGGAACCCTGGAACCTTGGAACCCTGCAACCCTGCACACCTGGCACCCTGCTGGGACCCTGAAACCCTGGAACCCTTGGAACCCTTGGAACCCTTGGAACCCTTGGAGCCGTGGAAACCTTGGAACCCTGAAACCGTGGGACCCTGGTACCCTGGTACCTTGGTACCCTGGAACCTTGGAACCCTGAAACCTTGGAACCCCGGAACCCTGGAACCCTGGAACCCTGGAACCCCGGAACCCTGGAACCCTGAAACCCTGGAACCTTGGAACCCTGCGACCGTGGAACCCTGAAACCTTGGAACCTTGGCACCCTGGAACCCTCAAGGATTCTGGAACCCTGCAACCTTGGAACCCTGGAACCTTGGAACCCTGCAACCGTGCACGCTGCATGCAATAAAATAAACTATCCCTGAAAGTCCTGGGACTTTAAAAGGAAGGGCCACCTACAGAGTGGTACTAAAAGGGATTATGGAAATGTCGAGGGTTTCTACGGCCGAGGAAGTTATAGAAATGCCGGGTGTTCTACGGCCGAGGGCTATTATATATATAAGGTTCGCATAGATGACACGAGCAATATCAGGGAGCACCACTCAATTTCTTGTATTTGAACAAATCTCAGGCTCACTGTTAGGATCCCTGGCTTGCGAATTCAACCATTGGACCAGGAAAAATCCAGGAGCGTTTTGGTCAATCACTTTGCTGAAAGATCAAATTCAGATGCACTGAAAAAAACGCTCACGATTACTCACGATATTCTTTATACCTTACGGGTCTTAGCGTGCCTCGTGGGTCTTTACTCGTACCTTATACTCACGAAAACTCACGAAAACTCACGATTTTCTTCGTACCTTACGGGTCTTAGCCTACTTAGCGTATCTCATGGGTCTTTACTCGTATACCTTATGGTTCCTACTCACGAAAACTCACGAAAACTCACGATTTTCTTCGTACCTTGCGGGTCTTAGCGTACCTCGTGGGTCTTTACTCGTACCTTATGGGTCCTACGCACGAAAACTCACGAAAACTCACGATTTTCTTTGTACCTTACGGGTCTTAGCGTACCTCGTGGGTCTTTACTCGTACCTTATGATCCGTATGGGTCCTACTCACGAAAACTCAGGAAAACTCACGATTTTCTTCGTACCTTACGGGTCTTAGCGTACCTCATGGGTCTTTACTTGTACCTTATTGGGTCCTACTCACTAAAACTCACCCGTCTTAGCGTACCTCATGGGTCTATACTCGTAACTTATGGGTCCAACTCAAGAAAACTTACGATTTCAAAATTCATAACATGCTGCGTTTCTCTATAGGTTCATTTTGTGCGCCGGAAGCAGCATAATCCACCACATCATCACAGCACATGTTGGCGTTTGGATGGGTTCCAGGGCCCTTTTAGGTAGGCATTCCCCATCGTACTTTTAGGTGCCTAAGACCTTAAACGGAGCATTATCGGAGCTGTTCCCATCGTACTTTTAGGTGCCTAAGACCTTAAAAGTACACGTACCTTTTATGGCCACTTCTACGGACATGGCTAAGACCTTAAAAGTACGTACCTTAGACTTCTAGGGTATAAAACTTCCAAACCCTGAACCCTAATGCGCGCTGCGCGCACTGCGTGCCACACACATAAACCCTAAAACTTTCAAACTTTAAACCGTAACGCGTACTGCGCGCACAGCCTGCCATAGAGGTAAACGGTTAAACTTTCAAACGCTGCGTGCCATAGAGACAAAGCCTAAAACTTTCAAACGCTAAACCGTAAAGCAGGCTGCGCGCGCTGCGTGCCATAGAGTGCTCCTCAAAAGTGATTACATGTCATACTTTACTGGCATCCTCCAAATTCATTAGTCAGCCTTTGTTAATCCAGGGCCCATTTTACACATGTCATCTTCTTGGTCGTGGCGCCATTTCAGGATCACACTGATGACCTAAGCTTTGGCCTTAACTATTATGCAGGCAAGCGACATCAGCACGCTATGGTATTGGAAGACACAGGGTTTGCCCGTAGACCAGCCAAAAAAAATCGATTTTCCACACTGAACAATTGGATTTAACACATTTAGAATAGGAGCTCCGCCTGATTCAGATTTCATCACTTAAACGGTACCCATGCCTGACTAGCCTTCACCCGATTTAAGGGAACCATGTATGACTAGCCTTCATAATTAAGAGGTACCCACCCACGCCTGACTTAACAGAACCCATGCCTGACTAGCCTTCATAATTAAAAGGTACCCATGCCCCTGAATTAAGGGAACCATGCCTGACTAGCCTTCACAATTAAAAGGTACCCACTGGAACCATGCCTGACTAGCTTTAATGACTTAAAAGGTAACTACACACACCTGACTTAATACCTGATTTACTGGTTTTGCCTGATTTTGGAAAAACGCAGGGCCGGAATTTGCAGGGCGCGGGCCGGAATTTGCCGGGCCCGGGCCGGAATTTGCCGGGCTGGGATTTTGGGGTCGTGCCTAAATAGGATTTTTGCAAAAATCGTGCATGACTGAAGGGAACCATGCCTGACTAAACATCATACCAATCATCCCAAAAGAATCCAATAATTCCGGCAAGTGATGCCTGACCAATCCCTGCGTCATAATAAACCGTCTGCCCCTCCCCACCCAATAATGAACACACGGAATAGTTTTTTGTATTTAGTGGGTATTTAGTATGAGGGTGCGAAACTTCCCCCTTGGTTAAAAAAAAACTAAATTGGAAAACATTTTTTAAATAACATCTAACTAAAATATTGCCAAAATTGGATTCCGAAGCTTCCCCCTGACATTAAATTGAAAACATTTGTTTTAAAAAATGAACTTTATATTTCAAAATCGATTGAATTCCTATTCAAAATCTAACTCAAATCTTGCCAAATTGGATTTCGAAGCTTCCCCTTATATTAAATTGAAAACCTTACTAATCCCCATCTCCTTTTACTAAACGTACCCTAAATACTAAAATATTACATTGATTCCTTTTACTAGGGTCCGCGTTAAATTTTGGGAAATTTCAGGCTGGCCAGTTTGACTTTTAATTGATACCTTTTCAAAAACAAATTAAACATGAAGGTCCCATTTCAGGATTTCACCACCAAAAAATAAAAACTAGTCAGCCCCGGTGTTTTTTTAAACTAGGGTCTTTTAAGGTCGAAAAAATACGTATTTTATATTACAACGTTTATATAATATTGGGCGAAAACTTCGAAATCCACTTTTTGGCATTGCCTGGCAATATTTTTGCTGGATGTCAAAAGGAAATCTAATCGATTCTTGAAATCGAAAAAACTTTTTTTTTAATTAGTGTTTTTAATTTAACCTTAGGGGAAAACTTCGAAATCCAATTTTTAGCAATATCTTAATTATATGTTAAACAGAAAACTAATCGATTTTGAAACAGTTTTTTTTAAAATATATTAGGGCTGGTAATTTAATATTAGAGGAAACATTTCGAAATCCGGTTTTTGTTTTTATTTTTGTTACTACAATTTAAAAGGAAATCGAATCGATTTCAAAAAAGAAAAATAATATTTTATATTAGGTTTTTTTAATGTAATATGAGGGGAAAACTTCAAAATCCAATTTTTGACCATATTCTAATTAGATTTCAAAAGGAAATCTAATGAATTTTGATATAGAAAAAATAGTCTTTGATATGATGGTTTAATATTCGGGGAAAGCTTCGAAATCCAATTTCTGGCAATATCTTAATTTGAATTTACAAGGAAATCTAATCGATTCTGAAATAGAACAAATTTAGTTTTCTTATATTGGAATTTTTCATGCAAGATTAGGGGAAGCATCGAAATCCAATTTTTTTCATTAGATTTCAAAAGGAAATCTAATCGATTTTGAAACAGGAAAAAAACAACATGATATTAGGGTTTAATATAAGGGAAAAGCTTCGACATCCAATTTTTTGGCCATATTTTATTTAAATTTTTAAAAGGAAATCTAATCGATTTCGAAAAAGAAAAACATACATAGTTTTTTATGTTTGGGGTTTTTATTTGATATTATGCTTCGGAATCCACTTGTTTGCCATATTTTAATTGGATTTAAAAAGAAAGAAATCTGATCGATTTTGAAATAGAAATGTGTGTATATATATATATATATGTGTGTGTGTGTTTTTTATCAGTATTACGGGGAAGCTTCGTACCCTAATACTAAAGACCCCCCCAATACTAAAAACTCCTCCAGGTGTTTGTTATTTGGGTGGGTGGGTGAAGGGGCGACTGTTTAGCAACAGGGGAAAGGGATTAAACCGTTTTTTTGTTTCTAATTTCAAAATCCATGAAAATAATCTTTAAATAGAATACTGCCAAGAATAGGATTTCGAAGCTTTCGCCTAGTATCAAATAAAACACCAACACCTGAATTAAAAAAACTAAAATTGACGATTTTTAAAGGACGGACCCCAATAAAAGACACCCCGGTGTTGACTAGTTTTTTGTTCTTTGGGGGTGAAACCCTCACATGGTACCTTCATTTTTAAAATTGTTTCCTCAAGGGGATCAATTAAAAATCAGATTAACCTATTTGACATTTCCCAAAATTGGAAATCGCACCTAGTTTTTGTCATTTGGGGGTATTTTTCGTAATAGGGAGAAAGGATTAGCAAAAAGAATGCCTGATCAAAATGATGCTGATTCTGTGTGTTACAATCTTTTTGCCCACTACAGTGTCTACAGGGTTACAAGGGATGCCGTGCCAGCTAGAGTCCCAAGTCCATTCAACCAACACCCTAATCGATGAAGTTGGACTTGTTGACATGGAAGTGGGACTGGACCAGTTGACATGGGGCGATGCTGACCTTCAACGGGAGCTTCGGCGCCTGAAGGACAACAGTTTGAAAATTCCGAACCTGAAATATATTTTCAAAATTGCCTTACTAAGAGTGATCCCCACCCTGACACACTATTCTGACATAGTTTCTGACATATCATCTGGACGTATATGTGGCACATATGTTCTGACATACTATCTTACATTCTTTTCTGAGATTCTATTTGACATTCTTTCTGGCATCCTATCTGGCATCTATTCTGACATACTTTCTGGAATATACTATATTCTGATCCTGCCTTGCCATGAGTTTGGGCTGGGAGTGCTTTTATTTGCGTGGATCAATGCCAATGGCTTGAATATCCCCCAAATGTTGGTTTCACATGTTTGCACCCAATGGTTGCCATTACCATTGATACCCCAAAATGGCCAGGTCCTGAATTTGAGAGTAGGTCCTGAAAAGTTTTCTGGGTACTGAAAAAACAGGATTTTGGCACAGGGTCTGAAAAAAGACGTAGGTGGAAGATTCAGGTATGCTGTTGGGTTGCAAAGCTGGGTTAATAACAATAATACTCATTCAATCACTACATCTATGAAAAATATAATAATAGTAATAATGGTAAGAACAATCATTATATATAATCTATAGTAGTGGTGATAGTAAAAACAGTAATAACATGTATACATATATATATGTGATAGGTTGAGATCATGTTAAATGATGTGAATACGATATCTCTAGCTACATCTCAAATATATAATATCTGTATATCATATATGAACCATCTATTGGTTTATGATGCATTGAATATGTATATTGTCATATATGTATATACATATTTGTCATGTATATATATATATATGTCATGTATCTATATATCTATATTAAATATGGTATTGCCATTTTGCGCATATAATATATATATATATAATATAAATATACATATATATATATAATATATAATATATATATAATATATATATAAACAATATATATATATATATATAATAATATAATATATATATATAATCTATATATGTATATGTGATGTTACATGTTAAAAATAATATACATAACTTTAAATCCGTATCCAAAGATGCAAACCTGTACGTAGGCCTGTTTGTTCTTCGCATGCACTTTGTTTATGTTAGTTGGTACCTCTCTTATCCTCAATGCATATGTCTGTGTATGCAGAAGAATAACTTTCGCAAAATGATGAGGGTGTACCACTGCAAAGCATACATTGTATCATACCGTGGATATGGGCCCAACCCCCTTAACCTGATTGACATCCAAAACCCAACGTGACCACCCAAACGGTCCTGCTTCGTCCGTGGCTTCAGGGTCAACTTCTCCTTCACCAAACTGGTGATGATGAACCTGAGATGTCAAAGTGAAGAAACAAATGCAATGAGTAGTCGCAATCCAAAAAAACGAAGAGAACAGAAAAGCTCAAATGACAGTATTTTGCTAGCAAATATGGAAATATTCATGATCCAAATGATAAAACGTTGGGGCGCACCCCTTCAGAATGGCAGCCCATTTTCTGGCCAGGCACAAGGTCACTGGGATGTTCCGTTCTTTGTCTTTCAGGATGATCTTCAGTTGTTGCCTGATTTGCAAATCGGGTTTTGATGATTTTTTTCAATAGCTGGATGGGTTATACCCTCTGGTAATTTAACATAGCTATTGAACATGGCCATTTATAGTGAGTTTTCCCATTAAAAATGGTGATTTTCCATAGTTATGTTAGTTTACCAGAGGGTATAACCCATGGAAGATCCCATCTATTGATGATTAAAAGGGGGTATCCCCATGACTTGGGAAACGCACACATGTACAAATGAACAAGATCACCACGTCAAGTATAGCCTTGAATTGATGTGGAAATCCCCAATGCTATTGGTGTCACCATGCAAATTTCAGATATGGGGATGGTTTACAGTAACCCAGAAAAATAGTTCAACGTCATTTCCAAATCTAAACATAGTGATAACTGGAAGCTTTTTGGCATCTTCTGGGTCATTACTAGACCCCAATATTCAGGGTTGCAGGGGTACATTGGCTAAAACTAGAGGTATATACAAGTAAAATGACAAAATGATCCAAATGTACATCATAATTTAAACCCATAAATATAGAGGAACAATGACCAAAAACAACATCCTTTCATGTCCAATGTCGATGGATTTACCCCCTATCGATTTATTTACATCATTCAAGCCCCAACCATAAAAACTAGAGGTAAAATTATGAAAAAAAAAACAAATTTACCACCCGAAAAAAAGGGTTACCCTCTGGTAATTTAACATAACTATGGAAAGATCCACCATGCTATTAATGGGAAAACTCATTATTTCTATGGCCATTTTCAATAGCTTGTTGTATGTTTACCAGAGGGTAAGCTATGGAAAATGTACCATTTATAGATGATTTACCTTTTGAACATAAAAAATGGTTATAGAAAATGGCCCATAGAAAGGGTTATCAAACCAACAGAAAGGGTTATCAAACTAGCCCCTTAGGTGTACCATTTATAGATAATTTACCAAACCACCAAGCCAGAAAGGGGTTATCCATAGATAAACCATAGATTAACCATAGAATATCCATAGATTATCCATAGATTAACCATAGATTAACCATAGATAAACCATTTTGTTTGTTTACCAGGCCGGGTATCAACCAACAAAAAAAAATAACAACAGCGCCCGCCTCGGATCGATGATCTCGGAGATGTCCAGACCCAATTCCTGGAGAAGTGGAAACTGGAGATCATCAGCAAAGGTTAAAAAAAAAACGAACTTATATATCTAATTAGGATCTAACTTGGATCTATAGTTTGGTTCTATCTAATTTGGATATCTATCTATAGTAATTAGATATACTGGATATCCAACACTGGTTATATCTAATTTGGATCTAACTTTTAGATACTTTTAGATACTAAAATGAGATTAACAGGTGGATATGTTGAAAAACAAACAAACAAACAACATGGAAATGGATCGTGAAATTATATATATATATATATGTATGTATGTATGGGTTATCCCACGTAATGATTATAACATGGCAAAAATCCGGGGCACGGTGCGGGGCAGCGAGGGTGGCACGGTCAGGGGCTGGAGATCAAAAAAGTAGGACATCTGGTGCTTGGGATAGCTCACTAGCGCGGTCTAATGCATGTCACAACTTGGAGATGATCCCTGGGTAGTGTTGAAGTACATCCTGGCAGAAGTTACTACCCAGGTACTACCCAGGAATCGACCTGACAGTTGCGCCAAGCATTATAGACGCCAAACCGTTTCGGTGACACTTACGATAAGCATTATAATTCTGCAATGCTTAGCATAACTGTTCCAGGATTCCTGGGTAGTACCTGGGCAGTGTCTGGGTAGTCCTGGGAAGTCCTGGGCAATCCTGGGCGGTTCTGGGTTAAGAATCTGATAGCCGAACCCCTTATGGTCAAAGGAACCCAAACTTGGACATTGCAAAAGTCAAATTCTATTTCCACAGCACTTTAGTTCCAGAACCATGAAAGAACATAGAATTAGCGCCCAGGAACCCAGAATATGATTTTCACGTTATAAGCATTACATGGGTCAATCAATTACTGTATGTATTATGACATTCAAAGCAGCTATAAACATGGGAAATGATCATGAAGTTACATATTCTTCAAAGGAGCTGTAAAAATATATGGGAAATGAATCAAGAAGAAAAGGACTTCAACTGAACATGAGGAGTCCGCCACTGAACATGGCGACGGGAAATATTCCAACTGTCGGACACTTGCGATCAGGAAACTGTCGGAAAAAAATCATCGAAAGCTCATCCAAGATCTCCACACCAGCATTTCAAATTAGGACCTACCCTCTGGTAATTTAACAGTTCGCTATTGAAAATGGCCTAGTCGAAATAGTGGATTAACCCAGCTAGAAAATGGGTGGATCTTTCCAGTTCGCTATGTAACAAATTACCAGAGGGTAAGCCTCCATTTTCCCATGGGTTTTCCTATGGTTTTTCAAGGTTCATCCAGTTGCGACCTGCCGGTGACACTTTTCATCATGTACCTGATTCAAAGGGATGATCTTGTAACGTTGCAAGATTTGACCCAAGGATACCCAAGGTGGCTCACGAAGCGAGGTATCATGAGGTCAACATCATAAACATTGAAAAAAAAACAAAATATCAAAATGTTGGTTTTGTCTTCGGTAAAGCCACTTAAATGGTTGCTTACTGGGATGGCTTATTAGAATTATCCCATGACTATTCCAAACATTTCCCATTTACTAGTACTAGTGGCTTGCAGTGGCCCTTCACAGCCGCAGTTTTGACCATGGGATGAAATAACTCCTGTAACTAACTAATACGTTGTATATGAAATAAGCCACCTATCCCATTTCTAGTCAATTCCCATGATTGTCCCATTATTTTGTCCATCTGTTAAGGGCACTGTTACCACATGTTACATCATCGGACGAAGCCATGTCCCGCATGGCTGTCCTCTTGCACTTCCCGCACAGCACATTGGACCTGGCAGCCATTCAAAACCATTGTTACCATCCTTCAGTTTCAAACAGAGTCGTAGAAGTATGTAAAAATCATCATGAACCAGAAGGGTCAGGAGGCTAAAGGGAGTAGGGCACTGATGTCTAAGGCAACGAGATTACTCTTAGGTTGCAGACCTGATAGGATCCTGTGGCTCGTTCCACGCCTCCGTTTCGTCCCCTTCCACTTTGCCCGAAGGAAAGCACCAAAGGCCGCCTCAATGCAATCGTTGGATGCGACTGCCCACAGTACGAGACCCTGGGCTCATCTGGTTGAACCTTGGGCCCCAATTGCTCAAGTGGTTCAAAAAGATACCTGCTTTAGCGACACCGCAAGCAGTCCGGGGCCATGAGATTGCTGGAAGAAAACTCACGCCCTCATAGGATACACAGAGTTGTTTTGGGAATCAACAGTGTACCACAATTCGCCTCAACTCAACCCAGTGCGGTGGCACTAAATCACCACTAAAACATCACGCCTTGACTCATCACCCGACACGGCCCAACACGATTGGATTCAAGCAGCGGTGTGTCATCACCATCAGCAAGCTTTCCAGCCTGCAACGCGCTCCGTCTCGGGGCCAAAATCAACATGACCTACCGATTGACAACGCGTCATTTGATGGTCCAAAGTGCACAAACAACTTGAACCATGATGAAGCCCATATCAGGATGCAACCAAAAAAACAACAACAATGGCATCAATCATAGGGCTTGGAAGATAGCTGAAGCCAGTGATGGAAACCTGGTGGAGTCCCAAGGGGTTTTTCTGGGCGTGCAACGCAGAACCAATTTTGGTTTCCCACATTTAATGGGATTTAATTCAAAGGGATAACAAAAACCCTCCTGATCTTCTGTAAACTAACAGTTCGATGTGGAATTAATCCACCATTTGTGTAGCATTTGTGTACCGGAAATCCATAGGTTTTCCACATCGATGTAAAGCTTTAGGGCATTTTTGTGGGTCTCCAAACCTGGCCATGAGGGATCCACAAAAACCTTGGCCATCAAGAAGTGAATGTCAACCAACAGATATGGAAAATCTTCACTGCGTTAGATGTCCCCCCTTGAAACATGGTGATTTTCCATGGCACACTGTGAGTTCAATGGCCAGAGGATACAACCGGCACCGGCATGATACCACCAGGAAAACAGAGCCAACCAGGATAACATGGATATTTCTTCTCATGATATCAGGCTACATAGACCCATGTTTCCGAACTTCCCAATAGCATCAGATTTTTTTTTCCGGAAGTGAATTTCACACATTTGGACAGGAGATATCAAACAATATGTTCTTTTGTTTTACGATCGCCATATTTTTGCAATAATTGGCTGGTTGCTTTGACCCATCCCAAACATGCAATTCTAGTCATCTCAACCAATCATCCCATTGCCCAGTCGGTCGAACGATGTCGAAAGTAAAACCAAGTGCAACCCCCAACCATGATGATGACGGTGTCCTCTGTCAGCCTCCTATTACCCTCCAGTTATCGCCCTCAACACTTATATATGTATATGGGGTTATAACTCCTGTAACTAGTTGGTTACATGTATATAATTATATATATCGGTTTGTCTGAAACTAGGGTACCCCTTTATTTCCATGCATATGAATCATTGCGCTATCTCTTTTTTTCAATCGTTATTTGATGTTATATACCCCATTTTCAGAGAACCCCATCATGAAATCGCCGCCTCTCATCGAAGAGAACGGCACCGCAGCGGCGTTGCGCCAAGCGAAGCTCACCTGGACCGGCTCACCGGTGTAAAGACGACAGCCGTTCCAACCAAAATGGTTGGGTAAAACACCGTTCTTGTGGGAGTTCATGTGGGAAATGGATACCTTTCAAACTTTCACAAACTGGTTTTGTCATATTTCTGGAAAAGATACTGTCAAATGCAGGGAAGATGATGAATCGTGGGATTTGTGGGTTCAGGTTCAAACCCAAAGTATAACGGTGGACCGAAACAAACACCTCCAAGCTTGACTAAAACAAACACAAATTTGGTGGATCATTAGTGTCCCCCATTTTGAGCAGCGCTCAAGGCGTCCAAAAAACGCTCAAGAGCCATTCAACGTATGTTCCGAACAGTCCACGCGGACTGTCCAATCCCGTATTTAGCCACGTTCATTCACGTAAAGACTGTGCGGCGGAATAAGAGTCTGAAAAAGGCAACCTTGTACATATCTTCAATGTCAGTCGAATGTTTTACTGCACCACAGTTTCAGGCTCATATGTCCTGGAATTGTTCCCGTTGTACCACTTACTTTCTCCTGATTTTCTCGTATTTTCTCAGGATCGTTAGATATCATCCACATGAAGTTGGTGATATGGACATCATCGTTGGACCTGTGACAGCTGTGGCTTGCCATGACAAAGTCACCAAGTCAGCTATTTATGACTCCAGTAACCAGGGCGAATGGTAAGTATAGTATATGTATGTATAATATATATATATATATATATATCAAACTAGTTAATGGATGTTGATGGGGATTAAAATACAAGTTATACCATGTTATACCTGTGGGGGCACCACCTTGCTGTTAATTGAAGGCGCATTCTTGAAATCAAGGATGATGTTGCATTTACATGGAATGAGTAAAAATATGCATTGATCTTCCCTTTAAGACTACCAAAATCACATCAGAACATGTGCATTTGATTGGGTGAACGACAAACATGAAAGAAACTACCCTCTGGTAATTTATTACATAGCTATTTAAAATTGCCATTTATAGTGGATTTACCCATAAACAAAATGTGATTTTCCATAGTTTTGTAAACGTTTACCAAAGGGTATGTTTGTTCCCACCAGTTTTCCCATATCTCTCCCAACCTTACCAAATTGTCAGATGCCCCATGAAATGTTTTGCCAACATCTTAAACACTTTAGAAAAGTTGCTCTCCGGTAATCAAACGTGGCAATTGGAAATCCACTAGAAATGGGGGTTTCAATAGGAAAGTCACCTATAAATAGTGTATTGTCCATTGCCATGTTTGATTACCGGAGGGTATTGATGTTGCATTGATCTTCCTAGATCTTCCCATGGGCGCATGGCTCATAGTGTATTGTCCATTGCCATGTTTGATTACCGGAGGGTATTGATGTTGCATTGATCTTCCTAGATCTTCCCATGGGCGCATGGCTCAAAACCCTGGTACCCTGCACCTCGAAATAGCTGGTAAATTGATCTGCATCTCCCATACAGAAACTCATGTGTTCGTTCCAATAGAGTGACTCACCATGAACAAAGGTCATATCATATCGTATCACATTGATACTAAATCTCATTAAATATCAATAAATATCCCATTAACTCACCATTCACCAAAACCATAAAACTCATTTGTTCTATCCCATTCACTCACCTTTTTTTGAAGCATCTCAAATCACCGTTTCTGTTGATCAAACCACCAGGCAGAAATCGCTCTCCAGGCTCCCAGTCGCTCCACTCGGCAAAGGTCTGCACCCAGTCCGACTGACTCGGCAAGGAGCGCGACAGAACCTGTAGGAAGCAGCTGTGGAAATAGGGATTTCATAGGAATTTCATGGGGTTTAATGGGGTTCATGGGGTTTGATACGCCAATATCATTAATATCATCTGTTATAGCTGGACATGTTTCTTTTGTAGCTGCTATAGCTACGGAAAAGGCACACAAGTGGAATTTTGCCATGTGGAAATCATGAAAGGAAAGAAAGATTGTTTCCCATGGATCCAAGGGAAACAACATAACAAGTCCTTAAAGCTCTCCCTTGGGGTATCGCGCATATGATGCACTCATTGTCCGAGTGTTGGTGCGCAACAAGCCGCTGTGCAGTTGAGGTGTCCATAATAACAATAACAATGAATCAAAACCTTGGACATATTATGCAGTTTATGGCCCTCAACAGTTATAAATGAGATTATAACTCTTGCAGCTAGTTGATTACACTTTAAACCAGTTATGACCGTTTAAGGGCTGTAACTGTGTCTATTTATTAAAAAAAGACTGGTATGACTAGGTCCCGTCCTTGTCCCTGACAACACTTGATGCCATCAAGGTCTTTCCAAAGATGTGATTCCATTCCATCCAATGGCTGGGAAAAAAACTGTAGACACCACACATCATCATCAACAAAAAATAAGATGTATGGTGATGATGATCATTTACCATACATCACTTATGGTATTTTTGGTATAACTATACTGTATTTATTACATAAATCATGCCAAACAAAAATCCCACATCTCAGCCGAAAATCCGGTGTCGCCACAGATCCAGCGGATGCATCGTCGGTCTCTAAGAGCAGTTGGATGAAGACCGAGGTCTGAAGCTTGGGATAATCTCCTTTCGCCTCATCTACCTGAGATCTGGAAGATCATAAAAACACAGAAATTTTGGGGATGGTGGAATTTATATGAATTTATTGCTTCAGTTGGATGGTGCAGTTATGGCAGTTATGGCCCAACTAACAGTTTTTTCTTAATGGACATATAACTCCTATAACTCAGGCTGCAGATCATTCTACACCAACATGAGGTCATTGGGGATCATCCCAATGATGCGGGCCGGCGGGCAGAAGCTTCGATTGGAAATCTCCCATTGACATTGCCAATCTTGGATATACAAAGAAAAATAAATGTTAGCTGGTTTGTAGATATTCTATAGCGCCATCCGCTTGGTTGACTATTAGTTTATGCCAGAACAGCCGAAATCAACAGCGACTCGTCGACTCATAACTTGCTGAATTTGTTCGGTTTTACGGAGGATATGACTACAGTTGATGGGTTGATAAACCTACAATAAACTCGAAATATCACTGGAGTTACTATATGTTACTATCAACTAAGCTTAGTTGGTTTAGTTGAAGTGGGTTGATAAACCAACATACATAACTGGGCCTCACCCTAGAAATCTTTGTTGCTAGGGTAACGTGATTCTGTGTATCAACCCTTGATCTACAGCCTCACTATCAACAAACATCTCGGTGTCCAGTGGCTTGGAGTGCCAGAAATCCCTTGATGAAGGGTACCAACCCAAGCCGTCAGTGAACAAAACTTCAAAGAATGGCTAATTATGTCGTGAAAAACTGAAAAGCAAAAACTAAAATCAGTGTCGTTAATTCTGAGCATACATATTATATATATATATATAAATACGTATACATACATAATGCATATATATATATAAACATAAAAATAACAATAAATATATCTATATACATAGTACACTTATATATATATATATATTTAAAAAATATATATTTTAATATATATATATATATATATTATACTATATATATACACTGTATACATACGTATATATAATGGTAGAAGGGCTTGTGAAATTTGAAATTTAAGAGTAGATTTCCAGGCCGCGCCCCCCGACCAATAAAAAGCCCTTCTGTCTCGGTGTCTCGGTTCCCACCATCAACCCCGATGCGTTCACCGGCCGATTTGTTGCGGGGGAGTCCCCGAGTGAAAGCCCTTTACGCGTTGGGTTGATGTGTGTTATATGTCCACAGGTTTTGTATATATATATATCTATAATATTATATTATATTAATATATATATATATATACACAAATATGATATGTCCAAGATTGATATAAGTCCTTTACGAGTTACAAGTTCGTTATATATGTCCACTGGGCCTCCATTGTATCTCCATTGATATTTCATAGATATCCCCATTGGAGTCCCAAAATACCAGTTACAAGTTATAATGTGGGTAAAACAATAATAAACCACTCATGTGGGAATGGTTTATACAACCTATTTATGGTGATTTGGGGGATGGTGTTTGATTGTTTTACCCACATTAAGTCATTTATACCCTCTGGTTGCTTAACATAGCTATGGAAAATGGCTCATTTACAGATGATGTTCCCATTAAAACGTTCATTTATAATGGATTTTCCACAGCTGTGTGAAATAACCAGATGGTTTCATCCATTCATAAAATGATAAGCCCATTTAGTTCACCAAGTCAAAATGTGGCTATAACTGGCTTCCCAGGACATCCGAGGAGCAATCTCGTCCAAGTAGAACCAGTATGCCTAACGAAACAACAACGGAAAAGGTTGGTGGCTTCGACCCGCGGATCGCAGGTACTCCAAAAAAAACTCCTCAAAAATGTAGAAGTTGCCCCGTGGTTTACCATTCTACACTGTACTTAAATGCTAGAAATGTGTTTATTGTGAACAACTAACATCTTCTTAGTATTCTACCCATCATTTTACTGCCTTTACTCATATCTATGGATATCAGTGTCTTGGTTGAGAAAATGATATTTTCGAAGAACGACTACAGTGTCTTGGAACATCACGGAACATCAACCAAATTCCAAGAATCCTTGGGATGTTTTGTCATCGTAATTTGTTTCATGCAATTTGAAGAATATATATATATATATAGTATAGATCTAGATATAGATAGATATATACATCATCTTGAATCGCCATTGCGTTCCTTGAAGCGACATGTTTTTTTTCTGTAACGAAGACATGCTGCACTCTCACCAGGCGCATGTCGGATGGTGAGGCTTGGGGTATGAACCACAGGGAATTGCGTAGGGCCCACATGGGCCCGGGGATTTGCAAAAGCACCATGGATTGCTTGATGTTCATCAGAAAACAAGAATTCTTGGAAGATGGATAAAATTTACTGGGAGATATGGATGTAATATGATGTAATCGAATGTTGAAAATGGGATATCGCCTGCTATCCCCCCAAAAAACCAGTGGATTTGATCCCTTTGAATCCCTACAAGTGCTGCATCGGAGATTTCGGTGGTCTTTCCCATTTTCCCAACAAGGTGGTGCCCCAAAAAAGTTATGTTTGTTGGTTTATAACCCCATTAACTATAGATATATCACCTATATAAACCATAGTTATTGGAGTTATGTTCACCAACTGAACGTTATCGTGGCCGGGGGCACCACCTTGAATGATCTGATGGATCTGATGGATCTGATGCCGAGAGAAAGACGTGGTTCAAACCGACGAAAAGCTGCAGCAAGCCGCACGAACCCCACCGTTGGGTGAAGGGCCCCTGGGGGCGGACCGCAAAGAGCTTCGCTCGTCAAAGGCTCGTCACGCTGTTTGCACAGATTGACCCCAATGGTGACATATATATATATATATACTGGTTGGTGGTTTCAACCCCTCTGAAAAATATTAGTAAGCTGGGATTATTATTCCAAATATAAGGAAAAATAAAAAATGTTCCAAACCACCAACCAGTATACTTAGGGGATAGTCGGATAGACCCTAGTACACATGAGAATCATGAGAATGGAGGGAAGTCCCAAGTCATAATGGTATTATTGGAGTCACCATTATAATCCATTTTTTGATTTACTTGGATGAACTATATTTATTCATCAACCTCAACCTAAACTATGGCCTTTTACATTCAATAAAGAACCTCACTGGGATAGATACCCTGTAATAACAATATACTAACGATATCTAACCTTGATTTGCAGTGACGTCGCGACTAACTAGGTCCTGATCAAATTCATCCAGAACTGTGGTTGCGAAATCCTGCACCAGTTGCTAGGTGGTAAACATCCCGTCTACAAATTCCATTATTGTCCCAGTGTTTCATAGAAATCAATCCCATTGTCGGCATCCCATCTCCCAACCATCCGCAGTATGTCCAATGGTCACCGTGTTGACCTAGTGCTTGATTTCTAGTGGAAGAATGAGGGACGATGGCTCAGTGACGATATCATACGTGCGCGACGTGACGTGCCAAGTGCTTCTTCCTTTCATGCCAGGGAAACATGATATTCGGTACTTGAAGCTAATCATGTCACCATGAAATCATATCTATATGGTAATCTATGTGGTATTGGATGTCATATTACTATATATAATATCATTAATATGTATATATATATATATATGTAGATATAGACTGTGACTATATCATATAGTTATTTATGGTAATCCAATATGGTGGAAATCCCATGAAATCCCCATATCATGGGAATATGCTTCCCAACTAATCGCCATGGAACTGACAAGGACATCTGCGGCCGTCACTAATTGGACGCCACGAGGCGAAATCAGATGTAGAAACTCTGATGATTCAAGATTTCATGTTTTTTGTTTTGTTTTTTTTGTGAATGTCCCAGGACTGTTTTCTGTAGTTCTACCGTTCTAGTTCTACCCATCAGATGCAGCGCTTTTTCAAATGGGCCCTCATCTTTCGCCAGGACATGAAACATATCCCTCCATAGCATCAATTTTCACCAGGCTTTGCCTGAACAAAAATGTCAATCTTTACTGGCCAACATTTTTTTGTCAGGTTTCATGGTGACATTTCGATGGAGTCAAAGGAAACAAACATAGGTCATTATTCCAATGTATCCGATGAAAAAACCCATGATCTATTCACTTCTTCCATGTATTGGAAAATTCTCCGTTTACGGCCGGACTGGCACTCGGCACATCTGAAAATCCACGTGCTGAAACCAATTCGTGAAGTGGAGTGAGTTTCAAAAACGAGTTTCTGCTCTGAGAGTGTTGTTGTTATCAGAACTGGATTTCGGGGATGTGGTAAATATGAGTCTTAATATTGTTGGATGTCCTAAAATATGTTCTGATGGTAATTTAAACATATTTGTCAGAACTGGGGATGTCCTAAAAGATGTTCCAATTCATGCGGTAAACCGCCATAAATGGCATCCCCCAGTATCATTTTGATGGTCATTTCACATCGCCATGGTGGCATGGATCAAATAAAAACGGCCCAGGCCTTGACCCGGCCTGGTAAACTAAGAAAAAGCGATTGATCATGGCCATAGAAAGAGTGGATTTAGCCATGAACAATGGTGATTTTCCATAGTTCTAAGTTAGTTTACCAGAGGGTATAGATGATGAACATGATCAGGTTGGTGGTGCAATAACCATCTTGAAAAATATGAGTTCGTCAATGGGAAGGATGACATCCCATATATGAAATGGAAAATAACAAATGTTCCTAACCACCAACCAGATGATGATCTACCTATTGAAAATGGTGATTTTCCAGTTCGCTATGTTGAATAACCAGAGGGTAATTCGTGAATGAAACATCCTATTGATATATCATGGTTGCAGTATTCCTTTTGGGGTTGGCGGTACCCATGTTTGAATTGTCTCTTCAGTTTGCATCAGTCGCAGAATATCTCAATGTCTTTGGGACATTTTCACGCCAAATTTTCAGACCATCCCCGATTTTTTGCCTGGGTGAAATCCACCATTTTCGCAGCCATGTCTGCGCATGGTGGTTTGAACCATGGTTGATATACTGTTAATATGTGGTTAATATATGGTTATTATATGGTCAATGATGGTGGTTAATATATATTTTTTTCCTCCTGCACGTCGGAACAATCTCGTTGCGGCAGTGGCATCAGTGAATTCAGCATGGAGCGTGACATGTCAGTCATGCCCTATGAAATCGCCAAATGCGCGATCGCACATTTTTGTGCATTGATCCAAAAACGCAGATGGCAGTGGCTCGTGCTCCGCACTGAGACCAGATGTACAAAAATCAATGTAAAAGCTGGACGCAATGGAGCGACATAGTCCTGGCGGATATTCCTTCAGCGGAGCTGTATGGAAATTTCCGCTTGCATCTTTGCCGACAGAAATTCCCGTAGGAAGACATTTCGACAGCATGCCTTGGTGCAAGCAGCGCTCAAGGTGTGGCATTCGAAGTGTCAAAAGAGTCGTTGGCTTCGGTGATGGGGCGCCGTAAAGACCTTGCGAAAGGTTGACCAGCCGCATGCCTGGTATTTGCAGAAGGGCCTGGACAACCGGCAGCCGCCATATGCTTACGGCATCCGGGTCTTCGCTGTCCTTTGGATGTTCCAAAATACCAGCTCCCTCATGCAAGGCAAGTGCAAGCATAGCTTCTAACGCAAAACCTAAAAGAATGGTGCCCAAAGTGATCTGCATCAACTCACCAAAACGCAATGACTCCAGACCCCATGGCGCAAGCGGAGTCCGGATGACTCTTGGGCCTTTTCCATCTGGCAAAGCAATGGCTCTGGCTTTACTCCAGGTATTGCAGGGAGGTCCCGCAAGAAAGCCAGCAATGTATCCCATGCGGATGTAATGCAACCAAAAAGATCTGGTCTCCTGCTTGGAGATATCACCAAATTGTGAATCGATGATGATATCTAATGACACAGTCATGATTACAAAACCATCACATTGCTTATGCAACTGCTCAAGATACCATTCCACATCTCCATGTCTTCTGCGGCCTGCAAAAGCATGTAAAAGGATCTTCTGTTTGGTCAAGGCTCTGGGCATCGGTTGCAAATCTTTCCAACTCTCCAATGGATGTGTGGCAAGCTTGGTAAACCAATGTTCCCAGTCAGTGAGTGTTGCAGAACTGGTGGTGCTGGGTGCACGATCAATCTCGTGAAGGAAAGGCCAACTATCAGCATCCGCAAGAGCGTTCAAGCAGTGGATGACATCCTGTCTTGAAAAAGCCAGGGGTTCCGCGTCTGTTGGGTTGATCTGTACTGCCATTTGTTGCAATGTTCTCTGACATTGCGTCCAACTGATCGGATAGCACTGGATGAAATTGCGCAGCGAAACGGACAGTACCTCAGTATTCGGCAGGTCAAGGAGGTGCAAATAAATGGCTTCCAAGAAATCCAAATCGTACCTGTCTCTTGGGCGACGCACTTGGTTCTGTGGTTGAGGACCTTGGGCTTGCAAAAATGGTTGTGCTCCATCAGTTGCTTCATGCAGGGCATTGTCAATGAGTGACCCAGATCCCGGCGTTGGCTGACAATTGATCCTTCGTCCCTGCAAGATTTCTTTGCAGCGGTTTGCATGTCTCAAATGAGCCAGCACTTTCGAATGAGTATGAAATTCCCTAAGGCAACATGGGCAGTGCGTGGCGTCAAAGAGACGCCTCTCTTGTGCAAAATAACCATGCGTACGGCACATGTGTACGCATTCACCCGCATGTGTCGCAAATTTCCGTTGGCACTGCATACATCCGAAATGATGAGGCTGCGTGATATTCGTGGCATGCAAATGTTGCACAGGGAGCGTGTCAACCAGGGCTTCTTCCTGCATGAGCTGACCTATTCGTGCATGAAGCTCAATAGCATGGAATTCATTTTTCCGCTGCATGATGGCATGTGTGGCACCCTTCCGTACGAGCTTTTTCCAATATTTACCATGATGGACAATGATATCCTGCCACTGTGCAAAATGTTGTGTTGGATCAAGCAAGTTGGTTGAACCCTGAAGTTGGTGCCAGAGCCAAGTGAGATCATCCTTGATCAAGGCGACCCACTCCTGGTCTTCTTGCAGGACTCCCCAATGTGCCTGGGCACCGCAATTGTGAAGCGTGCCAAAATACCTCAACCTTTCTCGTCTGAGCAACTCCGTTGGGTCAGGCAGTGCAGTCTGGACCAGGACTTCGGCATCAGTAAGATGTGCAGAATGCCTGACTCCGATGAGTCTTCTGTACAACTTCATAATGCCACTGTGGATTTGATCCCTACAACTCTGTATCGGGAAAGTCCAGCTCTCCATGCCATAAGTGAGTTTGCTGAGAATGAGCGATTGAAACAATTGGCATCTGGTGGTCCATTCAATGTTGTTATTTCGGTATAGGAGTTTCCTATGCTGTTGAAAGGCTTGCAGGGCGATGGCCAATCTGCGCTTGATCTCTTGCCGGTTGCAATCTCTGTGGTGCACAATTCCCCCCAAATGAAGATATCTGCTGACAACAGTGATGGAAAACATGGCATTTTCACAAACCACAGGCAAGCCGACAGTACTGCTATAGTAAGTGCGGCGAAACTCACGTGATCGTGTGCCTCTGAATGTGAACATGGCTTCGGTCTTCCCTTTTTTGAGATTGGGGGCCATTTGGAAAGCCGCACATGCATCCAACAAAATGCTCAACGTCACTTGGCATTTAGTGACAAGTGCGGCATTGGAGGAAGCCGTGAGCAGGATGTTGAGGTCATCCATCCAAGTGGGCCCCAACAAGGACATCGGCGGACCATCTTTCCACTGATATGGATCTGGCAGGGTGACCTCGGGCACTTGCTCAAGGATGCCGTGTGCGACCAGCGTGGACTCCAAACGTCGCAACAATTTGGCCCACAAGAAACCAAAAACCACGTCAGCGAAAGAATCTCCTGGCCTGGATCCAATTTCCGTTCGTACAAGGTCAGTTTGGTCACCTAATTGAAACCACGTGTCGCGGTGCAAGGCACGGAACACTCTGGAGACATGGGCTGGTGCCCCTGCCGCATCCAATGCTGATGGTTCTTGGAGCAGAGCATAAAGCTCATGCATGGCTTCCGTCTCGAATCCAAGTCTATGGCACATGAGACCAATGCAATGGTCAGAGAATTCACCTCCAATGGCCAGTGGCCGCAAGGTACGGTAGAATGCTTCTGTGAGGTCAAGATAGATCATGGCCGTCGGTTGGTTGGCACGTTTCTGCCATCTCAAAAAGGCCCTTGAAATGTGCAGGGGAATTCCAACTGGCATGCACGGTCGACCTCCCAATTGTTGCCTTTGCAAATACTGTGTGTAAAAGCTGTGGTATTTCTGCCTCAGCGCGCGATGAATTGTTTTCCCCATGTGGCTGGAGATCAGTAAGGAGCGATGTGATGTGCAATCGCGTACATCTCCACGATGCTTCCACGCCACGGCCATTTGTCCACCTTTATGGGCTGACGATTCCTGGCCAAAAAGGGCAGCTTTCATCATGATGGTGTAGCACCATTTCGCCATACTGGCCGGGCAGTGATGACACAGTTCCGGAGGTATGTCATCCAATCCAACAGCTTTCCCTGGGCGCACTCTTCGAAAGGCATGCTCAAGCTCTGTGAGTGTGGGTATGTCGGTGACTTGAAGATTAATCGAGGCTTCTCTGATGAACTGAGAAAGGCCCTGTCTCCAATGTTCCTTGTAGGCTTCAACAGTCATTCTCTGTCCTCCTTCCATGTCAGCAAAAAATTCGATCCATCTGTTCTGTGCCTCTCGGGCTGTGCGGCACAGCTTGCCATTCTCTTGCCGAACAATGGGCAATCCAGCTTTTTTCTGTTTCTTTAAATTGGTAGAGCCGATGAAGGGCTTCAGCGCATGGAGAAGAGTTCCTGCTGACGCTTGTGGTCCAGAGTCAGTGATGACTTGATTAAGACTGGCCATTTTATCTTTCCTGAGGTGTAGGCGAAGTCGTCTTGCACAATCCCAGTATTGGCTTGTGAGGACAATTTGTTTGCACCAAACCGCAGTTCGATGCGCCCGAATTGCATTTAGTTCCTCCATGTCAATATGACCTGCCCAGCTTCTGAAAAATACAGCAATGAAATCACGACCTTGCTGCTTCCGGGATTGTCTGATGCGTTTGTGAAGCGCAAGCTTTTCAGTGCGGATTTTCCAGGTCTCAGGGGTGATATATGGTTTCTTTGGCTGTCCCCTGATCTTCGGGCAGGTGGCCTTCAGGGCTGCATGAATGTTTTGAGTTGAGGCTGACAACCTGTGTCTCAATGTCACAGTCCCAATTGCCAATATGCACCTGGGCCGCTCCGAGCTGTTGCCAGGAAGATGCAATCTTGTCTCGATCATGGATGCATCGAGCATTCATGTCTAATTTGACAGAAAATCGGTCAGTCCATTGCATCTGTAGTGCACAGGCGGTGTGGTCAGCATGGTTGTTGCCAGTGTCCATGGTGTGCAAGACTTGTGAATGTGTACACCTTCCAAGCTGCAACGTTGGGATAGCAACATAATCAATTCGGTGGTTCGTCAGGCCCTCAGGTGAAGTCCATGTCGTGTGGTCACCTTGATGGACATCAGTCGTGCTTGGTAGGCAAAGTCCAGCATGTCGCAGAAAATCGAGAAGAAATTCTGTGTTCCCAGAAACGACATCATCATGGTGGAAGACAGTGGGCTCATCTGTCGGACCTGACTTGGCGTTTGCATCCAGCATCACGTACGATGGCAGGTGCTGACAAAGCTCATCGTAGAGAGCTGTGGTATCTTGCCACCATTGTCTTCTGATAGGTAGTGGTTGTCCACTCTGGGGTGCATGCAAGACAATGAGAAAACAATCGAAATGTGTGTTCTGGAGACGCACAAATAATCTTCTGGGATCATTGTGAAGAACTTGAAAATGCGATTTTTTGAAGTAGAGCGGCGTTCGCTTTTGGTAACCATACGGCTGGACAAGGGAAATCCAAAGTTCAACACCAAGCTTTCCTCTGTCTGCTCCACCTGCAAGTCTTAGGATGTCTTCTGCCGTACTCAGTCCATGTGGGCTTCTAGCCTCTTGGATGCCAAAAATGTTGAGCGCATGTGATTTCATTTGGCATCGAAGGAAGCTGAGTTTGCCTCCAAAGCCATCGGGTCCGACAAAAAGCGATCCCACATTCAGTGTGGCAATACTGAGCTGTAGCTTGGCTTCTTGCACAACATCCTGTCTTGTTTGCTGCGACTCAGATATGGGCTGATCGGCTGGAATATTTGGAGGATGTACATCAAATCCATGTGCAGTGAATTTGGGCAAGCCCGCACTTCGATCAAACAGCATCCACAAATAGGGAATTACATGTTTGAGTTTGGGAACATTCAACTGTTGTCGTCGAAGGTGATGGCTGCGATTGGCTTCAGTCTTCGCAAGAAAATCAACAAGTTCATTCCAGATGTCCCCCGTATGACCTCTTACGTGCGCATACGCAAGCATTGACTGGCCGAGACAGGACTGGAGAGCTTGGAAAGTTCCACGCAATAATTCATGTGTGGGGTGTAGACTGATGAAGCCAGAAATTCCAAACGCCTGATCTGCTGTGGTCGTCGAATCAGTTCTGAATACTGTGGGGATGTTGCTGTTCAAGGATAGTCGCCATAAGCCCGCAAAAAGGAGCGCTTCTCTTTCTGAGAACTCAGCCCCAATCTGGTCAGAACCTGCAAAAGCATTGCAACTGTCTTCATAGATGACACATTGGGCTTGCCAACCCAGAAGCGTGAGCGAGCCTGGTTGGTCATGGGTCGAATATTTCTCACCTATGACAGCAAAAGCCCAAGCATCTGGTGTTCCTTGTTCAGCTACTTTCAGTGGTGGTTTGCGGCGTTCACTCGGTTTCGACGATCCATCCGTATAAATGACAAGACGGTCGAAACCAGAAACATCAATATCAGCACCTTCAGTCGTGGCCGTGCCATCAATACCCTGCCTAACAAAATCCGGGAGGTCAAGATGTCGATACCAGGGGCACAGCACGTTGTGGGCTGAATTGAAAAAGGCAACAAGTTCACTGTGAGTAATACCCAAAGCAAGGCAGTGTTCAGGCCTCTCATGTTCGATGTCATCAATCAGGAAGACACACTGATGTCGAATACATGGTTGTGGTGCCGGCCATGGACTACGTTGCTTTGGATGGTACCCAGTGTCTTCGAGTGATGGTCGATTGTTTCGAAAACAGACTTGCATGAGCCCTTTACGTAAGACACGTGTTGAAATGATAACTGCTCTCAAGAAGTCAAATTGGTGCAACGTCTGCATATGCAAAAGCTCATCAATTGATTCTCTAGTGCAATGCAAAATGACATCTTGGAATTCAGCAACCGTGTCTTGAACTGGGCAGTAAATGAGATGCGTCACGTCATTTTCTTGTTTCCAGTCCACAGGGACAATGACCGCCGTTCCTGTGCCTTCCATTGGGTAAGCATGGGTGTTGTGACCAAGCTTCTCAAGTTCATGTTCAATCTCCTGTGCACCATAGCCATCAGGCAGAAAGATCTCGGAAGGCATATCTGGATTGAAATTGAACTGTTTGAGTTTGACAGGGACAAGGCAAGGCTGTTGGCTCGGCTCTGGGACAAGTTCCATCAAACTAAGGACGTGTTTTGTCCGAGCACCACTTCTTTTCTTGGCCGACAACTGCAACATGTTCAAGCCCTGGGCAGCTTGTATTAGTCCAGGCAAAACAACTACTTGATGGTGCACTTGGATGACGATATTGTGGCCAGACCTACCCGGCCAAATGATCCCTGGTGGCAGGTGATGCTCGTCAATCCACACTTGGCAAGGGATATGCATGTTGACATCACTTTCATATCCGCAAGCTTGTGTTACCTGGCCACGTTGGACATGTTCATGTGTCGTGATGACAAGACGGGAAAAATCATCTGGCCTGGACCCAATGAAACTATCAAAGACCGTGACAAGCGATGAAATCCAAGCTTCATGCGGTGCCTGGATTAAGATGACATGTCCAATGGTATTGTGTTCCAGTCTAGGCGGATGCGGGAGCACAAAGTGAAGTTCATGGGGCAGACCTTCAACAAATAAGTCGTGCCAGGCTCTTTCAATGAGTGCCTCCCAGTCAAAATAATTCTGATACAATCTGACAGTCCTGCTAGCAAGACATCTTTCCTGTCCATTTCTGTGATCAACAAACCACGTGATGACATCGGCTGATGTTGCTTCATCTTCCCAGCTAAATGCAATTTGAGTCCACTGCGCGTACATGTCTTGAACAAACTCAGATTGTCCACTGATAAAGATCTGACCAGGTTGAAAAACTGCAGCGTGAATGTCCGGTTGATACGGAGCGCATTCCTGGACTCCAGTTGGGAGGTCAATCGCATGTCCAGTGGTCTGTGAAATGGCTGGGCTGCTTTGCATCAAAGAAAGGTCATCAAAATGGCTCTGCTGCTCTTGTGGGGCATGCGGCAACTGCTCTCGTGAGGGTTCAATGTGCAATCTGACACTGTAACCAGATTCAACTTCAGTTGCAACGACTAGATGCACAGGTTCCCTGTTGTGATACGCTGTGCATCTTCGACCCTCGCAAAAGTGTTCAACTTGCATGAGGTCAATGAGGTCTTGTTTCCGAATAAATCTGGGTGTCGAGAAAGCACCTTGTATGATGGCATCCCTGTTGGGTCCTTCAAGGAGCGTCGTCAAGACCCCTGCTGACATGCCAGGTGGTTTGTGTTGCTCAATCAAGACATGACAGGCATAGTTCTGCAAACGTAGCTGCGGCGGTCTGGGTTTAACAACATGGATTGAGAAAATAGCACGTCGGTCTAACAGATCTCTCCACAGATGTCTGAACTCATCGATCCATGCAACTGCTGCTGGGTCAAGCCTTAGAGGTCTTGGACTTCTGCAAACAGGGTGTCGTTGATGATCAATGTACCAAGTCAAAACATACAAGAAAGCATCACCATCGATGGTTTCTGCGATTGCTTGTGCAGAGAAAATGTGACCAAGGTCTAAAAGCCAGTCTTCCATTCCATCATGCTCCGGTCGGAGTCTTCGCATTCTCACATGAGGGCCTAGCATCATTGGGATGTCGATGTCGTCATCCTGCTCAGTGGACTTGGCTTGACGGCTGTGCTGGCCTTGGTGCGCCGAAGGGCTACTCTCTGTGGGAGCTTCAAGCGACGCAATGGCAACATGATATGCAGCTGGACATTCGAAAGTGGCAACAGCATCATGGAATGCTTGGATGGCTTTGCTGATTTCCCATTGTGGGGACGGCGGTGGCGGTACAATGACACGTATGTACATGCCGTGTTCAATCTGCCTCGGTCCTTGATCCTGTTTGTGCCACAAAGCATGATTCTGGAAGACTAGACAGTCTTTTTCATGCCAGTCACAATACGCAGCCGTGTGTGTGAGATGCAATATGTGTTGTCTGACAAGCGTCGGAACAACTTTGTAAATTGCTCTGGAAACAGCTGGTGCCTTGGGCACATCATGCGTTCTGTCGGGGTCATGCAATTCAACATCAACCAGGATTAGCTTTTCTGTTGAACCTGGCGCAATGTCATGAATGTGTTGCATTATAATGGAGTGGCAGTCATCATGTTGGTCGGCTGGTTCAACCTGCAAATGATGAAAGCAAACGAAATCCGTGGGCGGTTGATTGACAACTGCAGCTGCATCAATGAGAGCATGAGCAACCGTGTCCCATCTGATTCTGCCGTGCCTTTGCAAATGGCCCAAACGGTGAATGTGGACCCCAACACGCAAATCATTGGTGCTGGCAATGCTTGGCGGCGGTTCAACGGAGTCATCATCGAATTGCATGTCATGATCCGAGTGGTCCAAAGAGTCCTGGATGTTTGGCTCATTCGGGACATCGTTCCCTACCGGGGTTTGTGCAATTTGCGTGCTTATCGCAACTGTGAAAGAATCGCCATCAAGCATGTCGTGGACAGGTTCCATGGTGAAAGGAATGTTCCATGGCGGATTCTGCAGTTGTGCAGGTTACATTCATGCAATTGTTCAGCAGACTGTACAATCTGGTGTCCACTTGTTCTCTCAGAGAGTGACACGCCTACTGAAAAGGATGCACGTCCTGCACGGTCATCTCTTTGAAGAATTGTCACAAGTCCTGCACGTCTCGGAGCATCGAGACCTTGTGAAAGGATGACATCAAAGAGGATCTCTTGCTGAATGTTAACTGCACGTGGTGGGTTTGGTTTCACAATATCGTAAATGACCAGTTCATTAGGAAAAATACGATCTCTCCAAGCTCCAAGAATTTCCTCATGCCAAAACCTCCAATGTCCGTTGAGTTCAATCATCCTAAAATGAAAGCATTGCGGAAAATGGAGGTGGTGAACGAACCAAGTCCTGATGAAAACACTGTCATGGATTCGTGGACCCGTGACCAATCCTTCTTGCTGCAACGCATCAAACAGATTTTGCAGTGCATCAGGGGCCTCATGCAAAAAATGATTGGCATCCTCAGGATCATTTTGATCATGTTCTTGAATATCCTCATTCTGTTGAAACCAGCGCGAAGGAACATTGTGATATTCATCGGTGGTGCGAAGTTCTTTGGCACAGGGTTTGGTGGCATGATCAGTTTTAGATTTGATTGGTTTTTTCTTCCAAGGCTTATCAAACCAAGCTTTAAGGTCATCGATTCCAATTGGGATTGATGCCATTTGCAAATTGTCTTCAAGGCCAATGTGAACTGAAATCTCAGAATCAAATTGAACTCTCTTTTGCTTTGGAATGATCTTTGGGCAATATTCAGATCGAAGGCAACTACGGTGCTCACTACGAGAAAACATAGGAGCTGCATCGTTCGAAGCAATCAAATCTGACCTATTTGGGCTGTGGATAAATGCTTCACTAGGCGATGGAGTGGCAGGCAAAACTGGAGCGTGATTCAAACCCTCATGAAATTCCTCACAGAGAAACTGCCAACGATTTTTCCAAGCACCTAAAACTGCAGCAAAATTGTTCTGAAAATTGGGTTCCCATTGGATGGAATGTTGCCAGTGGAGGAGAGCTTCGGAGTCGTGTGTGGTCAGCAAAGGGTGGCATGCTGCATGTGGCTCTGGCAAGACCACATAGGCATCAGCCAAACTTGCTGTGGCTATGGCGTCATGTAAACCATTGCTATGAACTGGAAATACACCGCCTGCATTCACGACATCTTGCTGTCCGGAAGCGAACCAGTGGGCCGTGATCCCCCAAAGGGCTCTAACGATCGCGGTCGTTTCCGGGCGTTTTCCTCCTCGTCTTCTTTGGTGAGATCTTCCATCACATCCAATTCTTCTGGTGCAGTCGGCAACTCTAGACCTAATGACTCGGCACAGGATCTGAGAACCGATTGCAATCGCATCTGCAACTTCTCGTCCACATTGTCCACTTCCTGATTGGCATCTTCCACTTCTGCTGCCATAGGCATCGAAGGCATGGCTGCCAATGAGGCTCCTGGTACAGTGGTGGTCAGCTGCTGAATGCTGGTTTTGTACTGCTCGATGTCTGCTTTGGCTTTGTTCGCAACCTCTTGTAGAGTATTCTGTTGCTTGCGGTAATCCTGCAATTGGGATTGCCATGTTTTGATGGCCTCCGTGATATGTGCAGTCCAACGAGCCTTGTGCTGCTTCTTTGCCTCCAGAGTTTCTGCAAGGGTCTTCTGCGCCTTGCCCATTGCTGTGGTAGCTGAATGCAGCGTCTTTGTGACCGTCTTGGCAGTCTCTTTCTCTAATTTTTCTATGTACTCTTTCACATCTTGCGGCATCGGGTTGCTCTCTGAGTACGCACTTCTGAGCATGGCTGCCACCTCCTGGTTTGGAACTCCAGTCGGTGCAGTTGGCAAAGCCGGCAGCAGGCTGGCCGTTGCCCCCTCTTGCGATGGCCATGGTGGCATTTCCGCCGCTAGTGGCGCAAAAGGAGATGGCTGTGGTTTGTCCGCTGGTGGATTCTTTCCTTCTCCACTCTTGGTCTTTTTGCCCTTGGCTTTGCTCTTTCCTCCTTTTCCCTTCGTGCGACTTCTCGGGCTGAATGACCTCGATTGGGATCTGGATTGAGCCCTCTGTCGATTCCAGGCTGCGTCGTCGGCTTCCCAAACTTCCCATGCATGATCGCTGTACGTCTGCTGCTGGGGCTGAGTTCGATGACGCGTGCCTGATGACCAGTGAGAACGGCAAAGTGCACATTCCACTGCTGTCTTTTTG